CCAATTTTAATCTTGTATGAAATAAGAGAACATGATCCAGAAATAGGGGAAATGTCTTCTAATGAGTTTACTAATAGATAAAAAATTCAATACAAAGAATTTCTGATTTCCGAGATTAGTTATATAAATAGGACCAAAAATATAGATTTTAATATTATGGCACTTTCGACTTTTCTTCTGGTAAAGTTATCGATTGTATTTTTTACTAAACTGCCATTTCTCCTTACATTCAAGGTTTCTAACTCTTACAAACATTAGAAAAATTTTTTTAAAAAAATGTGTTTTTGTTTCTAGATTCTTAACTTCTTAACTTAATTATCAATAAGCAATTAATTATTTAGTGAATCCTAAGAAAAACACAATTCTCAAACCATTAAAATTACAAGGAAAGTACTCTAATGTTATCAGTGTATAATGAAGAATATTGAAACTAAAGGGTGGTTTAAAGTAGAAATTCGTTTGGAATGAATCTAAAGATTACATTGAAATATAAAGATTAATAGATTGAAGTATAAAGATTACACTGGGGAACAAGTTTTTGATTGCATTTATATAACTACTTGATCTTGCCTAATTAGTTTGTAGGGATTTCAAAACTAAAATAAGTGTTGCTCCTAAGTCTACAGAATTTTTTAAGAGGACATTTTTAGTCTATTTTTTGTAGAAATGTACAAGTTCAAAAGCGTTATATATGATGGGGTTGAGTAAATGTTGCGACGAAGTTTTAGTTTATCAGCGATGCGGAAGTATCTAAGATATGTTAAAAAATCTTATGCAACGGAATTTTTTTTTTTATTCCCCAGTGTTTTATCAATGATTTAAGAAAATACACTATTACGACTTAATGCATTAGTAGAAAATTTATTACAATTATAAGAAAATGCATTATCCTTTTATATTATCTTTAATTTTTATTATCGACGCACTTGGATTTTATAAATATAAAAAGGAAGACATAGTGAGCAATCGTACTATTAATAGGATATTTAATTGCCAGATCTAATAACCGCCCTATCGTTTAGTTTATGATAGTATGGGTATTTACTACTACTTTCCACTACTTTCAGACTTATGACAGAAAAATTTCGTCAAAGAGTAAGCTGTTAGAAAGTAAAATTATCCTTCAACTTTTGATAAATAAAATAAGGGACAAAAAATGCTTCAATATTCGCCAAATCTTATTCTTTCAGAACAAGTGCCTTTCTATGAGAATTCTAGTAAAAACTTAAAAACATAAAGTAATAACTGATAAATTTTTAAAACAGTTAAAATAGCATACAAATTTCGATGTTACATTGGCGAATCATCATCAGAAAAATGGCGAATAAAAGGATTTTTTTCCTTCCTCGTCGCCATGTTTCTGCATTGTGGGAAAAAAGAATCTCGCTGCTTTCTATTTTGTATTGAAGATGTTTTTTTCTGAAGATAAAATTCTAATGTACAGTGCACAAAAAATAAATAAATAAACGTAAATGAAACACCCGGAAAAACTTTTGATCTAATAATCAGACCTTTACGTTCTAGGACTCAATCTTAATGGTTTAAGTGGGTGACTTTTACTATGTTAATTAGTAGGCGCAGACAAAATTTTACGTTACGAAATCAGACGCAAAAATGTACTTTCTCTGAATAGATGTGACTTCTTTTCAATGAATTATAATTTCTGTTTTGACCCCTAAAATACATTCTGGTAAATGTGATCCCATTAGTTTTGTCAGGAAAATGGTCCAAAGTTTGGACCCTTTAATGTTAATTTTACTTTATGCGAATTTCTCTTTATTTCGAGAACATTTTAAGCAAAATGAAAATATTTGAACACACAATTATTTAATTCGCTTTTTAAAAAATAATTCCAAGTAAAAAATAATTTTTAACAATTATTTATCATTTTTTATTACTGCATTTAATGAAGGTCGAATAATTTTTGAATTGCAAGGTATAGAAATTTTCACACGATTTTAAACAACGCAATTTAATGCGGCAAAAATCAAAATTTGAACAACATCTGTCCTATAGTTCCTGAAAAATCAAATTATGAAAAAGCCATATTTTTAAAATTCGATTGCTCAGGAGCTATTCTATAGAATTCGGTCAAATTTTTTTTTTACATAAAATTATGTTCTTTAAAATGATGTTAAAATGTGTATACATTGCAATTAAAAAATCTTTCAACTATTATTAAATAAAGTAGTAAAAAATAATAAATAATAATAAAAAATTATTAAGAATGATTTTTTTGCGTGCATTCATCTTTGGATAAACAAATTTTATAACTGTACGCAGACTTTTTTAAATTCACCTAAAAAGTTCTAGAAATATGAAAAAGTACGCAAGAAATTAAATTAACAATAAGGGGTATAAACTTTGAATCTCTCTCTTAGTCAAACTATTGGGACTATACTTCCCAGATTGTGGCTACCCCCTATTTCTCGGGGGTTAGAAATCCGAATCCGTCGAAAAAAGTTATGTTTATTCAGAGAAAGTACGTTTTCGAGTCTGATTTCGAAACTTAAAATATCGTCTGCGCTAACTAATTAGCACATTTGAGAGCACCCCCTCGAACCATTAAGATTCAGTCCTTGTACGTGATCATTACATCAGAAGTTATTCAGGGTGTTTCCTTTATTTTTTTGAGCACTGTACAATCGAAATTTATATGCTCTTTAGCTATTTTAATATTATATTTGTGTTTATTTCCAAATCATCATTATAAAGTTTAATTCTTCTTATTAATGAGTGTATAAACAAAGGAACATCTGAAAAATACATTTTGAAACTCATAATTTATTCTTAATCGATCACTTCAACGAAAAGATAATTGTTGTTGCTCATATTAGTATCCCGGTTTTCTTAGTTTTGTTTATGAACTATAAATAACCTAAAAGCAACAGCATGGTTTGGGGCCTTTTTCTAAGATCTATAAGGCAGGGAGATAACATGTAAGCTTTCACAACAATATGACATGATAACGGGCCTTGAGAAGTTAGGCGGTGAACTTGTTTTTCAGCTTTATCACTTTGTGTGTGGACTAGTGTAGAACAGTATTGGAATTTCAATATTGCAATATAACGTCAGAAAATATCGAAATATTGTGATATATTGCGACGTATTTCAAATTCTATGATTTTACAATAATTTTATAATAAACTATATTTTCCTTATCCAAATGAAATTTAACAAAACTCACTGTAATATTATATTCGATAATTCTCGTTACCAATAACATTCACGATATTAACCTATTCAGTATTAATCGTTGCTGACAATAATTATGATATAATAGTAAACAATATTTAATGTTGTCTATAATAAATATAATATTATTGAATTAGATATTTATCGTTGTCAAAAATCACCACGATATTAACGTGTTTGATAATTATTGCACATTATTACATATAAAATTCGTAACGTAATCATATTTTTTATTTTTAGTTATTGATAATTATCGTACGTACGAAATATATCTCATTAATGAAAATATGTCATCAATAATCGTGATATTTAAAAAAAAATTATGTTTTGTGAATGGTCAGGTATAGCCGCGAGTTTCTTTTTATTTTTACCTTTGTATGTTGTGACCACAGAAACTGAAAAGTATATTCAAGACTGAAATGAAGTTTCATTATCACTCGAATAATTGTGGTTATTTTCAAAACGAATAACAGAATATTAATAAACGATACAACTTTTATTTTCACAAGGATTTGATCATTTTATTTTTATTTGAAAAGTTTTGCCATTATTTTGAACGTGAAGTATGAAATTTATTTCATGTTTAAGTGCACTAATTTATTGAGTTAAGAAGTTGCAGTAAAAAGAGACGCAACATTATTTCTGATTTTAATAAATACTACAAATCATTTATAATTCATAAATATGAAATCAAATCAATTTTTATTACTCTTAAATGCGAAAAAGAAAGAGCGAAAAAGAAGAAAGTAATCACTTTCTTATAATTTGTTATGTCATTTAACTCTTAATTTTTTGTTAAAAAATTTCATTCCTGAAAGTTTTGTTTTGCTTCAAAAGTTCATTTTTGGTTTCGGTTTAAAACTTAAACAGGTTTATTTTTAACTGGCTTTTTTCGATTAGAAAATTTAAAACGAACTATCTTTTGCTACTTATGTCAAACATTTTAATATTTATACTTAAGTAATAATGATGCTTAAATAGTACAGATCAGTTTTTTCATACTATTGTCTATTATTAACGCATTTTCGATTTTTGACAGAAATTTATTAAAATATTTAAATTTCCGAATTTTCACAGGAAGTTTTTAAAATTATACTTTGTTTAAAACTGTTATAAAAAGCAGGGTGCGTTCAAAATATCAACCTTGGTTTTAGCTCTTTTTCGGTTTTGGTTCAACAATTAAACAGATCTATTTTTACCGAGGTTCTTTTGTATTGAAAATTCAAAAGAAATCAACTCTATTTTTTCATTTAAAGCAAATCTGCAATAATAATATTTAATGAGTTTTAATATTTATCTAGTAAAGATACATACATTATTAATGTATGTTCATTTTCATCTCATAAACATCAATTTACACTCATCTAATTAACAGAGATTTTTTAATGTAATTAAAATTAAATTTCCGATTTTTGATAGAAAGTTTTAAATTTTTTACTTTGTTGAAAATAATTGTCAAAAAATAGTTTAAGCTTTCACTTGCAGTTTTCTTTTGATGCATACATTTTTAAATCGTAATTTTGATTATTTTTTTTTAATTTGGTAATAGATGTAATATACATAATTAGGTATAGATGTAATAAATAAATTTAATTATTATAGTTTTTTTTTAAATATTTGTTTATGCAAGTTTATTTGGAGCTGAAAAGTTTAATTCCAGGTTTTTAATTTATTATAAAATTAATTACATAAATAAAAGATTAATTTTTAAATGCTATAATTGGTTTGTAACTATTTACAGAGTGAAAAATACATTAAAGCAAATTAAAGTGCCATAAATATGTAAATTGGTATGATTATCTTACCAAGCTACAGATCCAGTTTATAATCCAAGATAGAAGAAACTCATTCACATGCATCAAGTTATTCATAACGTGAAATCAAAACTCAGAGGGTGTGGCATAGGACTTACTGAAACACGATATGGGAAAAAAAGGTTAAAAAAAATAATAAAAACATTCCATGAAAGTCAATTTTGTGGACCCTCGTGACCAACGCGCGTGTTTTCTAAAGAGTTAATGCTTAACTTTCTCTTGTATAAAAGTTTTGGCGAGCAGGGTTACTGTACTTTCCGAAAGTTTGGCGGACCGTTTCTTTTTTTCCTCTCCCAAATATATCACAGAAGAATACGTCATCCCTTCTGAAGCCCCCGTCTTTGTTCGTCTCGACGCTTTATTCGAGATATGAGATATGTAATGACTTAACATGCTGTGTCACTAACATTTTATCTCATTACACATAGAACCGGAGTGTTGTGTCTAGTACAAGAAAAAAACTATCTGACTTATTTTTTCTTAGATTCTTAAAATCAGTTCACTAAAGTTACTCTCATATTTCTACTAATATTTTATTTAATCTCAGTTTGTTCAAGTTATGTGTAAATGTAAAAGGAAAAATATGATAAAAAAATTTAATAAAATGGGTCGTGCATAAATAGTGTCACATTTTTTAACAATTATTTTTGACCCCCTCCTCTTTGTCGCAAAGTGTCACACTTTACAGTTCCACTATACCCACTCCTTATATTTTTGAGCATAATAATTATTAGATGTGTAGTATTTATTTTGATTTAAAAGGATTTACAGCAAAAAATATTAAAATATTTAATCTACTGATGTTAAATATTTTTATTTTAAACAAAATATGAGAGCTCTCAATCCTTGTTATCTTCTCCCTCTCTCTTATTGCAAAATGTCACAATTTCACGGACAACACCCTCCCCCCTCTTCCTTCAAGAGCATCATTTATGGATAACAGCTAATAAAAAGATACCAATGGTCTGGTAAGAATTATTATCTCATCAGAAAATAAAATGAGATTTCATCAGAGAACATACATCGCATTCTCATTAATATATAAACAATCATTATATTGGAACAAATATTTTATTTAACATCAGTCGCATTATGCTAAATGTTATGCGTATTATGTATGCGTTATATATTAATAGTTACGAGGAAAATATATTAAAAATTTGAACTAATGTAAAGATAATAGCAATGAATGGGCAGGAATGTATCTACGGGGTCTAAGGGGTCCACTCCCTCCTCCATCCCCTAAAAGAATTATATATATATATATATCCCCTCTTCCTTCAAGAGCATCATT